AGAACTTATTTTTGTAATTTATAGAAATAAACAAGGGCGAACATATTAATTTAGAGCTTTAGTTAAGAAGATGACCCTTCCTGGCCAAATTTACTCTTCTTTGAGAAAATTTCACAGTGACCTACAGAGAAAGTCAACATCACCTAATGCTTTTCCTTCTAAAATATTTGCAGCTCCTGAACTCTAATTTTAATCTTTACTCAAATTTTATACTAGAGCCATATTGATTTGAAAAATTAACTAAAGATTCAATATGATGAGTTTTTCACATTTTCTATCTTTCAGGATATATGGTGATCAAATATTACTTTAGTGTCTTAAGAGACATCTGAAATCTTAGAGCTTCTGTATGACCCTTATCCTGATTAAATACTAATATCTACATTTATTCATACATTTTTAAAACTGACAAGTAACAGTTATATATATTTAAGGAGTGCAGCATGATGTTGTGATGTTTGTATATACTGTGGAATGGCTAAATCAAGCTGTTTAACATAAGCATTATCTCACATACTTGTCATTTTCTGTGGTGTGAACACTTAAAATGTATTCTCTTAGCAATTTTTAAGTATGTAATGCATTGTTTTTATCTACAGTGACCATGATATACAATAGATCTCTTGAACTAATTTATCCTGCCTACTTGAAATGTTATGTCCTTTGACCAGTGTCTTCCCAATCCCCCCAACCTCCAGTCTCTGATAATCACCATTTTACCCCATGGTTTTATGAGTTTGACTATTTTAGACTCAACATATAAGTCAAATCGTACAGTATTTGTCTTTCTGTGTCTGGCTTATTTCACTGATGGTAATGTCCTCCAGGTTTATCAATGCTGTCATAAATGACAGAATTTACTTCTTTTTAAAGGCTGAGTAGTATTTCATTGTGCATATATGCCACATTCTCTTTATTCATTCATCTGTTGATGGACACTTAGGTTGATTTCATGTCTTGGCTATTGTGAATAAATCTGCAGTAAACAGGGGAATGTAAATATCTTCTCAACATAATGATTTTTCATTTTTTTAAAAATATACAGGCATACCTCATTTTATCGTGCTTTGCTTTGTTGCACTTTTGCAGATATTGTGTTTTTTACAAATTGAACATTTGTGGCAATGACATGTCAAGCTAGTCTATTGGCAACATTTTCCAACAGCATGTTGTCAATTCATGTCTCGGTGTCACATTTTGTTAATTCTAGCAATTTTCCAAACTTTTTCATTATTATTATATCTGTTATGGTGATTGTGATTAGTGTTCTTTGATACTATGATTGTAATTGTTTTAGGGCACCACTAACCACGCCATAAAAGACTGAAAACTTAACTGATAAATGTTGGATGTGTTCTGACTGCTCCACTGACTGGATTTTCCCCATGGCTCTTTTTCTGCTTGGGCTTCCTATTCCCTAAGACACAACATTATTGAAATTAGGCCAATTAATAACCCTACAATGACTTCTAAGTATTCAAGTGATAGGAAGGGTTGCATGTCTCTCACTTGAAATCAAAAGCTAAGAATGATTAAGCTTAATGGAAAAGGCATGTCAAAAACTGAGACAGGCTGAAAACTAGTCCTCTTGCACCAGTTAACCAAATTGTGAAAGCAAAGCAAAAGTTCTTGAAGGAAGTTAAAAGTGCTACTCCAATGAACACATAAATAGTAAGAAAGCTTAGCCTTCTTGATGATATGGAGAAAGTTTCAATGGTCTGAACAGAACATCAAACCATCCACAATATCCCTGTGAAGTGGTCCCCAACCCCCAGCCCAGCCACAGACCAGCTCAAAAGGAACCAGGCAGGCTGCACAGGAGGTAAGTGGCAGGCATTTAAGTGAAGCCCAACCTGTACCCACAGCCACAGCTGTTCCCACTCCCGATCCCCATCCTTTGCATCACTGCCTGAGCCTCCACCCCCACCTCCATCAGATCATGAGCAGCATCAGACCCTCATAGGAGCTCGAACCCCACTGCATA